ATAAATACACTTTAATTTTAAATATAAAACATCCTCTATATATTAAAATATATTCATTTGGAAATATAATAAATAAAACTATTTATAATAATAAATAGCATAAGATTTATAAACTATTTATAAAATATTATAAATAAAACTATTTATAAAAATAAATAACATACGATCTACCTAGTTGTTATTATTATATAGATTAGTAGAGTATTTTTTGCCCATTAAAAACCTATGTAAAGTGCTGAAAAAAATAAAAATAAACCTATATATCACGAAGTAGATAAAAATGAAGATAACTAAAGATGAAGTGGAAAAGCATTAATAAAAAAACAAAGAAACTGATCCATTTTGGCGCGTCTTCTCTTCTTCTTATGTGTTAACGAACTATAGCGTAAAATTCAGAGCAAGCGATCTCCGATTTGAACGTGGCTATCACCGGAGGCCCACCACAACGGGCGATACGCTCTAAGTAGAATCAAAGCGTTATCTGGTGGTGACGTTGAAGAAACTCGCCCATGGTTTTTGTTATCTCTGCCGCCAAGTGTCGATCTTTCTTCGCCACTTCTCACCAAGTTACAGTGATCCTAAAAATGGCGTCTTTATTCGATCCCGTATATATATGCTTGAGTGGTTTCCTCTACAAATTCCTCTCCTTTTGGGTCTTCTGGGTTTGCCTTGTAAGTGTTTGTGTTTTTGCCTCTGAGAAAAAATCATGCCGACTGGTAGGTTCGAGACTATGCGTGAATGGGTTCATGACGCCATCTCTGCTCAACGCAATGAGCTCCTCTCTCTTTTCTCCAGGTTCTCCTCCTTAACACTCTTTCTCCTCTCTCTGTCCCTGAGTCTTGCTTATATATGCATGTGTGTTGTTGATTGGTCTCAAGTCATGAGTAATGGTTTTGGTTGTTATCTTTAGATATGTAGCTCAGGGAAAGGGGATATTGCAGTCTCACCAGCTGATTGATGAGTTCCTTAAGACTGTGAAAGTTGATGGAACAACTGAAGATCTTAACAAAAGTCCATTCATGAAAGTTCTGCAGTCTGCAGAGGTGAATCTCATGACTATGTTATGTTCATATATCTTGCGGTTTAGGTTTTATTGATGTGTAATACACAGAAGTTTTTTCCACCCAGGAAGCCATAGTTTTGCCTCCATTTGTTGCTTTGGCTATTCGTCCCAGGCCTGGTGTTAGGGAATATGTCCGTGTGAATGTGTACGAGCTGAGTGTAGATCATTTAACTGTTTCTGAATATCTTCGGTTTAAGGAAGAGCTCGTTAATGGCCAGTAAGTAAATCCTTCTGTGAAAAGTTTGTGTGTATACTTCTCTGCTTGGATGCTTAAAGTCTCAACCTTTTTCATCAGTGCCAATGGAGATTATCTTCTTGAGCTTGATTTTGAACCGTTCAACGCAACATTGCCTCGCCCAACTCGTTCATCATCCATTGGGAATGGGGTTCAGTTCCTCAATCGTCACCTCTCTTCAATTATGTTCCGTAACAAAGAAAGCATGGAGCCTTTGCTTGAGTTTCTCCGCACTCACAAACATGATGGCCGTGTTAGTTTTTTCTACACTTGAATTTAGTTGCCATAAACAGTTTGTAATTTACTAATTAGTATAGAACACTAACACCGTACTCTTTTTGTTTAATGCAGCCCATGATGCTGAATGATCGAATACAGAATATCCCCATACTTCAGGGAGCTTTGGCAAGGGCTGAGGAGTTCCTTTCTAAACTTCCTCTGGCTACACCATACTCTGAATTCGAGTTTGAGTAAGATCTTTCGCCATTTTCTGCATATCCGATTTTTCGTATTTGCTAGCTAGCAGATTATGTTACCATTTTTCCTTATATGGGTTATGTACTTTGGTGAAGACTGCAAGGAATGGGATTTGAAAGGGGATGGGGCGACACAGCACAGAAGGTTTCAGAAATGGTGCATCTCCTTCTGGACATACTCCAGGCACCTGATCCTTCTGTATTGGAGACGTTCCTAGGAAGGATTCCTATGGTGTTCAATGTTGTGATTTTGTCTCCGCATGGTTACTTTGGCCAAGCCAATGTCTTGGGTCTGCCTGATACTGGTGGACAGGTAGATTTAGTAGGAAACTTCCATATCATCTTATTAACAAAAAAAACTTCCATATCTTAGAACTTGGTGCTCCTCTATTAATTTAACTTATACTCTACTATTATGATTTGCAGGTTGTGTACATTCTTGATCAAGTACGTGCATTGGAAAATGAGATGCTCCTTAGGATACAGAAGCAAGGACTGGAAGTTATTCCAAAGATTCTCATTGTATATTTGCTTGCTCACTATCATCTACTTCGTTCTTCGTGTTTAAAAATATTTGCTATTCAAGTTCCAGTTTAAGTTTATGTTTCTGTGCTGGCTTATATAGGTAACAAGACTGATACCCGAAGCAAAAGGAACAACGTGCAACCAGAGGTTAGAAAAAGTTAGTGGTACAGAACACGCACATATTCTGCGAATACCATTTAGGACTGAGAAGGGAATTCTTCGCAAGTGGATCTCGAGGTTTGATGTCTGGCCATACCTGGAGACTTTTGCAGAGGTTAGCACTAATTAGTATCTAGATTTCTATATAACTTCTGCAGTTTCTTCTTGCTTCTTCACTTAGATGGGGTTAGCTCAAAGTTAATATAATTTGTGTGTATCAGGTAGGAGAATACGCTTCAGCTGTGTATGCATGTTCTTTTCTTTTATGTAGTGCTAATACTTTACTTCTATGTGACTAGGATGCATCAAATGAAATTTCTGCGGAGTTGCAGGGTTTACCAAATCTCATCATTGGCAACTACAGTGATGGAAATCTCGTTGCTTCTTTGTTAGCTAGTAAGCTAGGCGTGATACAGGTTGATGGGTTTTATGCTCTTCGTAATACTAAATTCAGTTTTGTTGATAAAACTCTTGTAAAATGTTGTTCTGATCTTTCCTTTACCATCTGGGATGCAGTGTAATATTGCTCATGCTTTAGAGAAAACGAAGTACCCCGAGTCTGACATTTACTGGAGAAACCATGAAGATAAGTATCATTTTTCAAGTCAGTTCACTGCAGATCTAATTGCCATGAATAATGCCGATTTCATCATCACCAGCACATACCAAGAGATTGCGGGAAGGTAAAAAAGTCATCTGATATTCAACTGCATGTTGTTGCCTCTGGAATTGTGGTTTGATGCCAACAGAAACTGTTTTGCTTTTGTTACAGCAAGAACAATGTTGGGCAATACGAGAGCCACACAGCTTTCACTATGCCTGGTCTTTACCGAGTTGTTCATGGAATCGATGTCTTTGATCCTAAGTTCAATATAGTCTCTCCAGGAGCTGATATGACCATATACTTTCCATATTCTGACAAGGAAAGAAGACTCACTGCCCTTCATGAGTCAATTGAAGAACTCCTCTTTAGCGCCGAACAGAATGATGAGCATGTGTAAGTCCTCTTACAACAATTCTGATTTCACAATTACACGATAAACAAAAACCAAAAAAACTCAAGCAACCACATTATATTGGACTGGTTTGCATGTCTCAATCTTTTTGTTTTTATACAGTGGTTTACTGAGCGATCAATCAAAGCCAATCATCTTCTCCATGGCAAGACTTGACAGGGTGAAAAACTTGACTGGGCTAGTTGAGTGCTATGCCAAGAATAGCAAGCTGAGAGAGCTTGCGAATCTTGTTGTAGTTGGTGGCTACATCGACGTGAATCAGTCCAGGGATAGAGAGGAAATGGCTGAGATACAAAAGATGCACAGCCTGATCGAGCAGTATGATTTACATGGTCAGTTTAGGTGGATAGTTGCTCAAATGAACCGTGCTCGAAATGGTGAGCTATACCGTTATATCGCAGACACAAAAGGTGTTTTTGTTCAGGTAACATGAGATAAATTCCCTTGTATTTGGATTGTTTTGTTAGTTTAACAGACCATCTATTCTCTCTCTTTTTCCACCACAGCCTGCTTTCTATGAAGCATTTGGGCTTACAGTTGTGGAATCAATGACTTGTGGGCTCCCAACGTTTGCTACCTGTCATGGTGGACCCGCAGAGATTATCGAGAATGGAGTTTCGGGGTTCCACATTGACCCATATCATCCAGACCAGGTTGCAGCTACCCTGGTCAGCTTCTTTGAGACCTGTAACACCAATCCAAATCATTGGGTAAAAATCTCTGAAGGAGGGCTCAAGCGAATCTATGAAAGGTTGTCCCATTTTCCTTGACAAACACAACAATAGAACCCTAATCGCTTCACCAAGATGATGGCTTAATAAGGGTTTTTGCTTGTATAGGTACACATGGAAGAAGTACTCAGAGAGGTTGCTTACGCTGGCTGGAGTCTATGCATTCTGGAAACATGTGTCTAAGCTCGAAAGGAGAGAAACACGACGTTACCTAGAGATGTTTTACTCTCTGAAGTTTCGTGATTTGGTTAGTGTAACCCACTCTTCTTCTTTTGATGTCTACATCTACTTTACTTACATAATTCTTTTTTTTTTTGGTTTACAGGCCAATTCAATCCCGCTGGCAACAGATGAGAACTGAGCATGACAGGGTTGGATTCTATTTGCTGCACTTTCTCTAGAGCTTTTGTTTGTATTATCTTGAATAAAAGTTGTTGGGTTTTGTTTCCTTGAGTGGTTTGATTTTGGACTTGTTTGTGTTAATGCTGTTTTGGTTGTTTTCTTAATATCAATAACAAATAATTTACTGGTTGGCATCTAAAGATCTAACAATAGTTACTATTTTTAGAGGTAAAGACACAAACCTTGTTATAACGGTCCAAGAGCTAAAACCTTAACTTGTTGGGAAAACAAACCCCTAATGACAGAAAATCTGACATTGATGTCTTAATTCACAGCCTCATAAATCCTAACAATAGCACTTTGCTTCTTGCATTATATTATTAAGTCCACTATTCTCTCTCTCTTTCCTTCTAACCAAAACAGAGTCACAAGGGGCTCTAAGCCCCTCCAACTAAATTTTTTTCTTTTGTTCTCTTGAAATTGTGAATTCACCAAACAAAAAAATGGGGGTTGATAGTGAATTGAAAAAGAAGAAATGCATCATTGCTGGGGTTATCACGGCCTTGCTCGTTATCATGGTTGTCGCTGTCGCCATCATAACATCAAGACACACCAGTGATAATTCAAACAAAATTGCCCCTGTGCAGATTAAAACAACCACAACGGCAGTCGAAGTAGTTTGTGCACCTACTGATTACAAAGAGACTTGTGTCAACAGTCTAATGAAAGCTTCTCCTGACTCCACTCAGCCTCTTGACCTCATTAAACTTGGCTTCAACGTCACTATTCGCTCCATTAAAGATAGCATCAAGAAAGCTTCCGCGGAGCTGAAAGCCAAGGCAGCCAACGACAAGGAGACCAAAGGGGCTTTGGAGTTGTGTGAGAAGCTTATGAATGATGCTACTGACGATCTAAAGAAGTGTCTTGATAACTTTGATGGGTTCTCAATTACTCAGATTGAGGACTTTGTCGAAGATCTTCGTGTTTGGCTTAGTGGCTCCATAGCGTATCAACAAACATGTATGGATACTTTTGAGGAGATTAAGTCAAACCTTTCCCAAGATATGCACAAAATCTTTAAAACATCTAGAGAACTCACAAGTAATGGCCTTGCCATGATTACTAACATCTCTAACCTTCTTGGAGAGTTCAACATCACCGGTAATCTATTCAACTAATCACTAGTACATTTGATATACATGTAACATGTCTAAGTCTTACACAAGCATTATGAATGAACAATGATGCCATTTTGGTTGATAGGATTAACCGGAGATCTCGGGAACTACGCAAGAAAACTTTTATCTACGGAAGACGGTATCCCAAGTTGGGTAGGACCAAACACTCGACAGCTCATGGCAACGAAAGGAGGTGTGAAAGCTAATGTGGTAGTGGCGCAAGACGGAAGTGGTCAGTACAAGACTATCAATGAGGCCTTGAATGTTGTGCCTAAAGCCAACCAAAAGCCATTTGTTATCTATATTAAGCAAGGTGTCTATAACGAGAAAGTTGACGTCACCAAGAAAATGACTCACGTCACTTTTATTGGTGATGGACCAACCAAAACTAAGATCACTGGTAGTCTCAACTTTTACATCGGCAAGGTTAAGACATACCATACTGCCACTGTTGGTGAGTCCAATTCTGTTTATAATCCCTAAAAGTAGCCACATTTCAACCATTAACATAGTCAAAATTTTAATAGAGAATTATACATTAGATGACTTAAATTTTAGATCCAAGTTGGTAAAAATGATTATGGGAACATTTTGCAAAATAACCCTATGTTGATGAAAATGTGAGCGGTTTTTTACATTTTCGATTTTAACATGCTATTTTTCAATATGTCTCCCTTAATTACTATTTTGCCTAGTTAACCCAATTTATTATTTATACTTTTGTTACAGCGATCAATGGTGATAACTTCACGGCGAAGAACATCGGGTTTGAAAACACTGCCGGTCCCGAAGGACATCAAGCTGTGGCCCTAAGAGTATCGGGGGACTACGCCGTTTTCTACAACTGCCAGATCGATGGTTACCAAGACACACTCTACGTCCATTCACATCGTCAGTTCTTCCGTGATTGCACAATCTCTGGCACCGTTGACTTCATCTTCGGCGATGCAAAAGTTGTCTTACAAAACTGTAACATTGTAGTGAGAAAACCCATGAAAGGTCAGTCTTGCATGATCACAGCCCAAGGCCGGACCGATGTACGTGAATCCAGCGGAATAGTGCTACACAACTGCCACATTACCGGAGAACCGGCGTACCTTCCCGTAAAATCGATAAACAAAGCATATCTTGGAAGGCCATGGAAGGAGTTCTCAAGAACCATAATAATGGGAACAACCATAGACAACATTATTGATCCAGCGGGATGGCTTCCTTGGAATGGTGATTTTGCACTCAACACGCTTTATTATGCTGAGTATGAGAATAATGGGCCTGGGGCAGACCAAGCCCAACGTGTTAAGTGGCCTGGAATTAAGAAGCTTTCACCTAAGCAAGCTCTTCGATTTACTCCAGCTAGGTTTTTACGTGGTAACTTGTGGATTCCACCAAATCGTGTGCCTTACATGGGGAATTTGCAGTAGATTCCAATTGGTGAATTTTCTTTTTCCACTTTCTATGTTCTCTTTAAAAAAAGTAAATTTGAAGGTGAATAAGTACTTGATAAGTAATGGTATGGTATCATTGCTATGTTGTCTTGTCTTAAAACCAATCAAGTACTTAACGTTGGAGACCATACCATACCATTGCCGTGAATGCAAAAATATTACGCATCCTCTTTTATTCAGAACAAGATCCTTTGTTAGATATGAACTGAAAAACTTGTTCGGTCATAGTTTGAAACAAGAGTTTAGTGAGAACTGAGAAGCATACAATTAGGAAAACCTTATGGAAATATATAGCAACATAAGATAGAGAGAAGTGAGTGAGTAAGTAGCCCGCTAACCAGTCTAGCCTCGGCCTCCACGACCACGCCACCACGGTACCCACGACTTCCGCCAACATGAGAAGGGGATTGCATCTCCTGAACTTTCTTTGAAGGTTTAACCGGTTGCCCCGGAGAATTCTCTGTGTAGAGACAGTTAGATCCACCTCATGACAAAAATTCTCATCCGAATCACTGAAGTAACGTAATATGTAAGGGTACATTACATACTGAAGTAACAGTCTATTTCAATATATTTATTTTTTGTTATAATTGAGTAGCTAAGTTATACATTTCAAACTTGATATTTTAATTTTTGATATAAAAAACTTTAAAAATGAATGCCAACAAAAAAAAAAAACTTGACTTAAGAGAATGTTTTAAAAAGGAAATTATAAAGAAAATGAATTATTAAACACGAATGAAGAGAATAAGGTAAATCTCACGTGAGGATATTTAACAACTTAGAGATATATACTTTGTGAACAATTGGTTTCAAACCCTAATTGGGATACCTTTAAAGTAAAGTCGTCAATCCACAAGTTTCGATCTAAAAACAAAAGACCCTAATGGTGGATGAGGAGAAGCTTCCATGGGAGTTGGTTGATGAGATACTCTCTCGTGTCCCACCAACATCTCTTTTTCGCTTCAGAACCGTTTGTAAACGATGGAACGTTCTCTTCTACGACAAGACGTTCATGAACAACCACAAGATGACGTTTCGATTCATCTTAGCAACTGAATCAAAGATTTATTCGGTAAGCATCGATCCAAAGATAGAGGTGTGTGAGTTAACATTAGATATTCCTGGTTTAGAATATCAGGAACCTCAATACTTGCTTGATTGCGATAAGTTCTTGCTATATGGCTTGGATAATAAAGGAGCCGTGGTTTGGAATCCGTGGTTGAGACAGAGTAGATGGATAGACTCGTCGGAGATAAAACAAACTCCTATGCAATTCAGTGGCATAGGATACGTCGATAGGAATTACAAGATCCTTGCTTCTTGTTCTCCGACGGGACTTCCCAACAAGTCTTGGTGCAAAATATACGACTTTGCATCCGATGCATGGAAAGACTACGGATCCGGTGATGGCATTGAGGAACGAAGTTCTTATGTAACCTTTGGTGATAGTGTTTCCTTGAATGGTACTTTGTATTGGGTTGCTATAGAGAAGACTCATAAAAGCTTCCACCTTGCATGCTTCGACTTTTCGAGGGGGAAATTTATTAAAGGTAGGAATCTACCATGTGAGAAGACGAACCCCCTTAAGGATCCTCTTGTCCTCGGGGTTTTTAAGGGAGATCGGCTTTCATTGTTAAAGCAATGCCATAAAACAAAGAAGATTGAGATTTGGGTGACCAAGTACAAGGTTAATACAAATCTTGCTCGTGAAGATGTTGAATGGATAAACTTTATGGAAGTGTCAAGTCCTAAGTTGCCGAGTCTAGTATACTACTCTCAGCCAAGTTACTTCATTGAAGATAAAAGGCTTGTCGTTTGCTCTTGGGACAAAATTGGTCGGGCTTGGATCTATGTTTTAGGGGAAAATAAGTTGATCAGTAAAATTCATATAGATTCTGTGGTTGATCCTTGGTCTTATCATTGTACCTTTATTCCTAGTTTGGTACCGGTTCCTCGAGGTCAACGTGAAGAACTAGCAGAATTACAAGTTTGATTTTATTGAATTTTAGATTCTTGTTTCTTGTAATTTTTTTCGTTTGTCTTTTAAAATTTTTAATAAGTTTTTTACTTTTCAATGATAATGTATTAGAGATAATGATGAAAATATTTCTTATTTTTATAAATCTGGATACGTAATTTTTTTAGAAATATTTGATTTTGTCAATTCTTTTTTTTGACATCTTATTAATGATACATTTTAAAATTAGTTTAAAATTTAGTAAATTCTAAAAAGGAAAATATGATTAGAAATCAGTCTGAACAAAAAATGATAATTGATTTTTTTAAAAAATATCATTTACACATGAAAAGAGAGTTTTTGGTGCTTATGTGTCAAGCTCACAATTATTCTCATCTTTTTATTTTTCATTTATTTAATTCTACTGTTTATTTTGCCAAACACTTTTAGTTCATATACTACTTATTCTTATTAACTAAACTTACCAAACTAAATATCTTGAACCTTTAAGAGAAATTCCCTAAAATAGCACTAAAACAAGTTTTATGGACAATTATAGCACACACTCCATAAACTTCCAAAAATAGCATTAGTTAATTCACTATTAAGTTTTTGTTCTAAAATTATTATCACTAGTTTATTTTTGAGAAATTCCTAAAAATAGCCCTAAAACAAGTTTTATTGACAATAATAGCACACACTCCATAAACTTCCAAAAATAGCACTAGTTAACTTATTATTAGTGTTTTTGATCTAAAAATTTTATCACTAGTTTTTTTTTTCAATAATACCACAATTTTTATATAAAAGCTATTCAACAAAATAAATTAGAAATAAATTTAAAATATTATATTTGGGTTCTCTATTTCCAATTTAGGGTATATATTTCCACCATTTAAAAAAGATTTTGATTCATTTTAATATTAGTTTATGGTATTATATTTGGGTTCCCTATTTCCAATTTAAGGTATATATTTCCACCATTTAAAAGAGATTTTTATTTTAATATTAGCTTGTGGTATTATATTTGGGTTCCCTATTTCCAAATTAGGGTATATATTTCCACTATTTAAAAACATTTTTGATTCAATTTAATATTAGATTAGTGTTTGCTCTCTTTTTTATTTTCTATCTTATATTTTCATTAAGTTAAATTGAAGTTTATGGTGCTATTTGTGGAACTTTTCAAATGAGGTGCTATTTTTGGAAAAAAAACAACTTTTTTGGGCTATTTGTGTCAATCTCCCTTTATTTTTTTCAATAATATCACAATTTTTATATAAAAATTATTCAACCAAAATAAATTAGAAATAAATTTAAAATATTATATTTGGATTCTTTATTTAAAATTTGGGAGACTCACAAAAATGCCCCTTTTTCAATACCCCTTTTCAAAAATGCTTCCTTTGGCTGTCCATTTTTAAAAATACCCCTTTTTATGTACAAAATGACTAAATTACCCTTCTTTTAATAAACGATATCACAAATATATAAGGAAATATAACAAAATTAGGTCCACAAAATACAAAATATTTTTTGGCGGGAAAAGTGATCCTGCAATTTTTCCCGCCAAAACACTTGTAAAAACTTTAAAATACCTTGTAAAATTTTCCCGTAAATTTTTTTCCCGCCAAAAAATTTTCCCGCCAAAAAACTTTTTTTTGCGGGAAAAGTGATTCCGCAATTTTTTTGGCGTTAAATTTTTGGCGGGAAAAAATTACAAGGTATTTTAAAGGTTTTTTACAGGGTATTTATAAGGTTTTACAATGTATTTTAAAAGGTTTTACAACGTATTTATAAGGTATTTATAAGATATTATAAGATTTTACAAGCTATTTTATAAGGTTTTACAAGTTATAAGGTTTTACAAGTTTTTTATAAGGTTTTACAAGTTATAAATACCTTATAAATACCTTGTAAAACCTTTTAAAATACATTGTAAAACCTTACAAAACACTTGTAAATACTCTGTAAAACCTTTAAAATACCTTGTAAATTTTTCCCGCCAAAAAAATTTCGCCAAAAAATTGCGGAATCACTTTTCCCGCAAAAAAAATTTTTTGGCGGGAAAATTTTTTACGGTAAAATTTTACAAGGTATTTTAAAGGTTTTTACAAGTGTTTTGGCGGAAAAATTGCGGGATCACTTTTCCCGCCAAAAAATATTTTGTATTTTGTGGACCTAATTTTGTTTCAAATAAGGGTAAAATGGTCATTAAAAATTAAAAGAGGGCAAACTTAAAAATGGACTCTCAAAGGGGGCATTTTTGAAAAGGGGTATTGAAAAAGGGGCATTTTTAACAATTTCTCTTAAAATTTAGGGTATATATTTCCACCATTTAAAAGAGATTTTGATTCATTTTAATATTGAATTTGTGTTATTATGTTTGGGTTCTTTAGTTTTAATTTAGGGTATATATTTCTACCATTTAAAAGAGATTTTGATTCATTTTAATATTAGTTTGTGGTATTATATTTGGGTTCTCTATTTCCAGTTTAGGGTATATATTTCCATCATTTAAAAGAAATTTTGATACAATTTTATATTAGGTTAGTTATGCTCTCATTTCTATTTTCTATTTTTTAAAGTAGTGATTTTTAAAATTTAATAATTATTTATTATATATAAAAGTTTATAAATTGTATCATTTTAAAAGATATTTATATTTTATAGCTTACAATTGTTATTAGATAACTGTATACCGTGAGACATTTTTAGTTTTATACAATCTTATCTAAATCAGCCTGGTTTGATATGTCTAATATTGATGGTGCTGAAAAATAATAAATTAAGGATTTAACCCGTATTGAAGTGGCGAGTTAATAATATTTTTCTTTTTTTATTAATTATGATTCAAACTTGTCCTGCCATATAACCCCATCCCGTAATATAATTCGTCCAGTATTATTTTAATTTTTTTTATTTGTTTAAATGTTTATAATATTATAAACTTTTTATTGATTTTAGATATATCAATTGTAATATTTATAACTTTTAGAAATTTAAATTTTGATATTTCCGGTAAAATTAAACAGTTTAACTAAAGACTGAATTAAACTGTATACAAAGTTTTAAATTTGGATGTTTGTTAAGTTAAGCTCCCTGTTCATTCTGATTTGGATTCATTTTGATCTTACTTATAATATGCTTTTGAATCATTATCTAAATATTTAGCCGAGGTGAGAGGTTGAACACACACTTTTTTTATCAATTGGGTAATATATGTCCGTTTTTACAATTTCGAATCACAATATATGCAGGAAATTTTTTTGAGATTTTTCTTAGCTTTGTGTATTATAATATGATTCAAAAGAATTAAAAACAATCAAACAAATCTTCTAAATATCTATATCTATATTGCTAAATATGGAATATTCGATGTAAGAGATTAGTTTCTTATAACCCGATCCAAAGAAAAATATGGAATATTCGGTGTAAGAGTTTGAAGTAAATTTTGTGCCGGCTCGTATACCAAAAATCTCAGATAAATTTTTAACCCATCCGATAGAAAATGTACTTCAAAAATACTAATATAGATTTATAGTGAGAGAACAATATATCAATTGACACATAGCAGTCTATTGATTAAAAACTTCAGAAATATTTTTTGTTGAGAAATGCGTTTTTGGTCCGCTTCTTTCAGTTGTCAATTTTCAAAAAAATGTTCCTCGTTAAATTTGAAAAGCTTAAAAAAAATTTTTGTAGATATTTTAAAACTCTAAGGTGAAGTTCATAATGTACTTCTCGATTAATAGTATTAGATATAAGATAGAGATGAGTGTACACTATTTCTTGTATCCCATCATTTAGTATATAAAATTATGAATCTAATCTTTCTCTATAGTTAGATAAATAGTAAATATGAAATCGAAAAAGACTCAATTATCATTGTGTGTAACTCAAGCTGCAGATAACTAGTAGAAGCTCTATTAACGCTTCTTTGAAAAACTGAAGCTTGTTAAAGGCTTATGCTCTGTAGATATGGAGTAGTGGACACATATATGAGGCTTCTACAGCTTTTTCAAATTTCACTAATAATATTACCCAATTTTCAGCGGAGTGTGTCTCATTGCAATTTCTTATGTATTGTTCAACGTCGACAAACTCTTCAAAAGAGAAGCTTTTAGTACATCTCATTCAAGCACATTGAGTAAGCAAAAGATAAGCTTTTTCAATCTCTCCATATCTCATATTGATGAAACCAAATAAGAAAAAGAAATAACAAAATCATAAGGTGATGAAAAAATCATAGGTGAAATATGAAGCAATACCTTGGTGTTTTTCAAGCTTGAAAGCTTCATCCTTCAAGCAAGCAAATTCTGAGCTGCAGTTTGTCGAGGATTCATTTATATCTTTATTATATTGTAAAACAACATTCCGAAAGCATTGACTATCAGATATCCATCCTTATCAAAATAGAAAATTCTTTTAAGAATAAAAGAAAAGAAACTCAAATACGCTAAAAGGTAGTAAGCTCAAGAAAATCAATTCATTAAGGTTTCTGAAAAAAAAATGGAAATAGAGAAATTCAAAACCAAAATATAAACCAATTTAAATTGAAATAAGAGAATATCAACTCGTCAAAGTTTTGAAAAAAAAATAGGTGAAACAAATATTTGGAAATGTATATTGAAATCCAAATAATACGAGGAATGTGAGAATATTTTTTTTAAAACAAAATCTAACATATCAGTTGATGTACAAAAGAAGCCCGTAAATTATAATTTGTCACATGTTGAACTATAGTAAAATCTTTATATAATAATTTTTATTATGTATGGAAATTTAATTGAGTGACCTAATACATGTAGCAAATCTGATAGTTAGGAATTTGTTACACATTGAATTCTTATAAGAAACATAAAAGTGTATATAATAAAATAATACTTTTTTGTCTAATGTGTCGTATAAAACTTACAAGTCAGTCAAAAATATGACAGTGTTCTAAGAGACCTTATACGACGAATGAGGTTTGATGAAAAGGTCGGACAAAATATAGAAAGTTCGGAAAATTTCTAAAAGCTCTAAAGAAAAATCGATATTTAGAAGAAAAGAAATTCTAAAAGCTCTTAATTTAGGCCTTTCAAAAAATTTAATGTGGCCCGGTCCATAAAGTATTAAAATGTCATTATTTTTTCAATAGGGATTGCTTTAGGTCATAACTAGAGTTATGCCCCCTGCTATGCAGGGGAAAATTAAATGTTAATTTACAGCATATATTAAAATATTTAGAGAAATATCAAACATATGTATTGTGTTAAAAACAAAGAAGTTATATCGTTATTACGAAGCAATCAAATTATTTATGGTAGATGACAAATTGTGTGAGCATACTAATAAGCTACTGGTTATGGCCTTGATCAATCTCGGAATATCCAATCACGCTAGTTCTCTTCACGTAATCGTCCTATTCTTGTTCTCTTCACCACTCATCATCATTGATCTCAAATGAGAAGGGAGATTGATGACGAGTTCTGATTGGAGAATGGAAAGTGGACAAAAATAATGGAAGAAGAATGGTATTTCTAACATTGCATAAAACTGGTGAAAGAGAAGGAAATTGAGCCGGAGATAAAGAATTTGAGAAACGTAATTAGGAAATCTTAAAGAAGATGGAATCGTATAAATAGTTTATCAATAAAAAAAAAGAAACGGTTGCATATGGACGTGGAGAAGATCGTGAGGAAAGTGGGTAATTTTTTAGAAACAATATTTATTTTTATGAAGTTGCTCGTCAAAACTCAAAAAATTGTGTGTTTGCTAACGTGTCAAAAGGAGAATGTTGCAGTTATTGAAAAAGTGACTGTTGATTTAGTAGATATAGATTAGCCACTTAGTGATAGTTTCAATATTATAATAAATCTGAAAATTTGATAGTTGTATTGTTTGTAAATATTTGATTTCAATATCATTAATTTTCTGCAATTGATTGTACTAGAGTTGACATCTAATTCTTGTTTTGAAATTTTTAATTGATACTTTTTATGTTAGTATTAGAATTAGAGATAAATCAGATGTTTTAACTTCACCTAGTGGTTGGATATACAGACAAAAAATCACCTAAACCGTCATCATTTTCAATAGTTTTTTTTGTTGATATCCATGTTTAAAAGAATTTAAATATTAAAAATAAAAAGAATATTGTCTAGAAAAGTTTAGGATTTTATGAGCGTTATCTATTTTTAAAACAATATATCAATTTAAAGATGGAAAGAAAAATAAGAAAAGAAATTCAAATGTGCTAAAATATGCTCAAGATAATCAATCCATTAAGGTTTTTGGAAAAATAGAAATAGAGAAACTCAACAATATAAAATAATCCCAATTTAAATTGAAATAAGAGAATATATATCCACTCGCCAAAGTTTTGACAAAAAAAATAAAAAATAGGGAAACAAATGAAAACTAATTGAAATCCAAATAATAGGAGAAATGAGAGAATGAATTTTTTTTTATAACAAAATCTAGTACATCAATTGATATATAATTGGTATATGAACCGATCTCGTAAATTATAATTTGCCACATGTTTAATAATAAAATCTTTGTATATTAGTTTTTTTATATGTATCAAAATCTAATTGAGTGACTTAACACATATCGCAAATCAAATCGCTAGTTAGGATTTTGTTACATACAAAATTCTTATAAGAAACATCAAATTTTATGTAATAAGATAATACGTTTATGTATCTAATGTGACGTGTAGAACTTTTAAAAAGTCTGGATGCCAAAAAAAAAAAAAAAAAAAACCTGAAAACGTCGTCAAACTTAAGAAAAAGTTAAATTCATTTACATGTGATCGGTTATAAAATACAGATTCTAGTTTATTTATTTATTTACGGATGCCCTTTTTTTTTTATTTTTTTTTGACAGCTAACGGGATGCCCATTTTTAAAGATTGAGTTTGAAAGTATTTGGGAATGGACTAACCGAAAAAGAAGGTGGAAAGTGACAAGAGAGTAAAAACTGAAGAGAGCATTGAACCAAGCAAAACACCTTTTCTCTTGGAACCCCTAACCAATGTCTAACAACAAATACCCTATTCAGTATTTTCCCAATTCTCCAATCTCAACGTCTCGATCCCGAGATCCACTATTTTCAGTTTCAGGGTTTTTTTTTTTCTTATTCTTCTTCCATTCCACTAATAAATCAATGTGTATATTACTTTAGAGAACCACTAAGAATATAAAGATCTTTTATAAAAGTTTTAAAAGAATCATTTAATTAAAAGTTCTGGCATCCTGAATTTTCTCCTAGCCCTTGTATTAAATAACCACTCGTTTGGAGTAAAGTCTTGTGTAATAAAAGTCATATGCTTTTTGTGAAAGTCATCTCAAATTCTTAATGGTTAATACATAAACATAGTAAATGTGTGAGAGAATAAATGATGAGAAGGACCCATGCAAATTCCTTGGTACTATTAAATGTTCAATGGATCTTGAGATTTTCGAAACAAAAGATAAAAGCAAAAAAATAAAATAAAAATCGTCAAAATTACGACAATGTTTTGTATAATAATAAGAAACCATTCCCATGTGATCAGTTACAGAATACAAATTCTACTCTCTTTTTTCTTTAATATACGGGTCTTCATTTATAAAAATAAATATAGATTGAAAAGTATTTGAGATATAGACTAACCGAAAAAGAAGGTAGAAAGAGACAAGAGAGTGAAGAAGCATTGAATCAACCAAACACTAACACTAAAACACCTTTTCTCTTGGAACACTCAAATACTAAACTCATTTCACCAATGTCTAACCAAAACAAATCTCCTATTTTCCCAATGCTCCAATCTCAACACTTTAGCGATTATGGTTTTGATCCCCAGATCCACTACTTTCAGGTTCTCTTCTTTTTCCACATTGTTCTTAGGGTTTCGATATAAAGCTAACTCTGTTTTTTTTTTTTTTTTTTTTGTATAATACTAAGGTTTTGGAAGAAGCAAAGAAGCAAAAGTCTTCCTCTATTGACACATTTCAGTTCAAGCTTCAAAAACCTATCTCGAGAGATGATTTGATCCGAACCACTCTTCACAACAAGAACAAGAACAAGAAGCGTTGGTTATGGTGCAAGAACGCTTTGTTCTTCTTGAAGTGGAGAAAATGGCCAATCTCCGCCGTCGTTGGAGGATGCTCCGGCGAAAACGACGGAGACAATGAGTTTGAGTTTGACGATCGTAGTGATGTTCATATTGCTAGAGCTCGGAATTTTCGTGCCGGTTCGATATCGGGTCCGGTTTACGTGACGGAGAGCTGGAGCGGTTCGACTACACCGTACCGGCCGATGACGACGAGGTCGGCGGTTCAGTATTTGAGTCTACGGGAGCTTACTATAGAGCGACAACAGAGGATCACTACCACTTCTTCTATGTCCGGTCCTATTTACTTGGTCACGTGAATAAAAACACTAATTTGCAGAATTATCCTTTTATAAAGTTTTTTTATAGGATCAAAAAAGGAAAAAGATATTAAGATTTGTTTTGGGAGGTGTGTGTGTGTTTATAGTATACTTGCTTAGATTGGTTTTGTGGGCCTAATGGGCCCAATTGTTTTATAAGATATGATGAGTCCAATACATAAAGAGTGTGACTGGGCAGCTAAAGGTAATAACCAGCTCCCGTTATTTGTTGTTTCTTTTCGTTGGTTGATGCGAGATGACTATAATAAACTGTTTTAGGTGTTCTTAGACTTTTAGTTAGGGAAAAAACCCGAAAAAACCGCCATCTATTTTTTTTTTGGCCGTTTAATACGTGTGTTTTTAAAATTGGAATAAAAATACCTCATTTAATTTCGATTGTCTTTTAAATTCATTGTTTTTTAAATTTTGGTAATTTCGAATCCGAGACTTAACAGCCGTTAATAGGCGTAACGGAATTGTTTAACGGAGTTAAATTTTAACCACACGTTTTTAAAAATATATATAGAATATGTTTACGAGAGGTTGTGTACATGTTATCTTGGTCTGGTGGTAACGGATAATTCTCTCTCCCTTCTTTTCACCCTTGTTGCTCGGGTTCGAGCCCACCTCCAACCCTAATTTTTTTTTTTTTTTCGTTTTTTTCAGCTGAGTGTCATTTACGAGTCTAGTGCACCGCGACATGAAGCTAGAGGTAGGTACGGTTCAGTTTGATTCGATGCTTGGGAATTGCAAATCCATATGTGAAAGAATCTTCATCACTTAAAAAGAGTTATGATCCCTTTTACCCTCTGTTCAAAATTTGACTCTGAAACCCTAACATTAACCGACGGTGAAGCAGAAACAGGCGTCGTTTTGGCCTGAGAAGACGGAGTTGTCAAATTCGGACCTTCTCGAGGTTTAATCTCCGAAACCCTAACTCTGGGTTCCGATTCAGTGGCAGAGGAGAGAGATGCATCCTCAGGAGGAGTACGAAAGACTTCATCGTTGATAGAATCGAGGCTAGTCGGAGAAGAGAACGAGAGAACCGGAGTTTTAACAATCGTCGGGGAAATCTGGTTATCGACAACCTTAGTGTTGTCAGAATCTTCTTTGTCTTCTTCTTGTTTTTATTACTAGCAGAGAGGTGAAGAAGATGAAGGAAAAAAAAAAAAAAATTAAAGGGATGCAGACGGATTCGAACCCTTCAACTCGAGAGTTTAGCAAAACATGGTTTACCACTAGGCCAAGACGATATGTTCATAACATATAGCAAACCGATTCTATATATATATTTAAATACGAAGAGATAAAATTTAACACCGTTAAATGATTCCGTTACGTCCATTAACGGCTGTTAAATCGGAGGTACAAATTTACCAATTTTTAAAAAACAATGAATTTAAAAGACAACCGAAATTAAATGAGGTATTTTTATTCCAATTTTAAAAACACACGTATTAAACGGGCAAAAAAAAAATAGATGACTGGTTTTTTCGGGTTTTTTCCCCTTTTAGTTACCTAATCTATTCGGATTTTTATATATGTGTATACAATTGTTGAATTTATATTATTATTAACAAGTAACAACCAAGAAAGCACGTGGAAAATTTTATCTTTAATTCTTTTACATGTTGGACAAACTTTTTTTCGACGCAATATGATTGAAACTTGCATTTTCATCAGTCTTTTACACGATTCACAAGGCAAATAAATCATAGTCCATAGACATCATTGCTTGCTTGATTAACAAACATAATCGAGACCCAAAGGATATAATAAGATTTTATCAATCCGAAATGTGGAATATACAAAAACGCTTCTTAGGCTTTATCAAAGAGTATCAGCAGCAACAACTATTGAGTTTCATTCAAGAGAAGGATCATAATGACTAATATAATTTTAAAACGTAATGCCAAATTTGGGTGTTATTTAGGGTTGGTGTTGAGGAGACTTCTTGAGATGTAGGGCTTCTTTGAGCTTACGACCGAGAGCAAACGCCAATGGTGGTGGGACTGCATTCCCAATCTGCCTATGCTTGTGTATTATGTTCCCTGCAAACTCGTAGCTATCCGGAAACCCCTGCAGTTTTCATATACCACAATTTCACTTAAGATGTCATATCGATAAAGCTAACATTACTCAGATCCGAAAATCATTCCATATCACAAGTGCTATGCCATATCTAAGAATGTTACTGATGCTATAGGATTGACTAGGAAACAGAAGAGTTTTTATTACCTGAGATCGGGCACATTCACGGACTGTAAGGATTCTGTCCTGGTCAGGATGGAAGCACATTCCCACCTTACCCATGGGCTGAGGATCGGTGATGGAAGTCGGAAAGTTTCCTTGCCAGTCTAATCTCCCAAATAGTCCCTTCCACCCGTTGTGGCGCTTAGCTGTGTTTGGCAGACACCAAGGAATCATTTCTTCAACGTGCCCATTCTTTAACTTAACCTGTAATAGTAAAACAAAGCGATTTAGGTTGATTTATAGTTTTAAAGCAATTCTTTTGATTCCCCGTAGTCAAACTGACAAAGGAATTTCTGAAGCAGGATGTATAAGACTGACCTTTTCGTTTGGCAAGTCATGCCAATCAGCCCCAGGCCTCTTTGGGATGTGCTTGCATCGAATGAGGTTTAGTTCATTCAGTGCCTTGCAGATATGATCAGTGAGAGCAATCATGTTTCCTCTTATCTCCTTTTGGAACCATGAGACTGCAACATTTTTATACTGCAAGACACAAGAATTTCCCCACACAAAAAAGTCAAATGGGTTCACGTCATTGTGTTTAACAAATATTATGTATAGATATTTCCTCCTGATGTGTTATCATACCTCTTTGGTTGTCATGGATTCTCCGTTTTCTACTGATGGAAGATCGCCAATTGTGTCTCTCACGGTGATTGGGCGGAATGGGGCACCAAGTGCAGTACTACGAACAGCAGCATAATGTAGACCTTGAGATAGCGAGATTTTCAACTTCGGAACACCAAAGACATGCATCGGCTCAGGCCATTCTGGGAGAACTTCTTCTGGTGCAGCTGCCCAAATGAAAGCTCTTTTACGAGATTGGGATACTCCATATGCACCTGCCTCCAGGATTCCAAATCTCACCTGGAAAACATCTTAAACAGATTGGAATCAATTTCTGTATTTCACAAACCATTGCTCACATAGCATGCCAACTTCTACTAAAGAGCAATCTAATTTAATAACGTTAGGATTTTACCTGGTAACCCATTTCGAGAAGGGAAGCCAATGTAAGCTGAAATGTCTGTCCTTTATTGAATGACACAAAGGTCCTCACGTTCTCCAGAAGAAAATACCTTGGCCGGAAATAATCAGCATAGGACAAGAATGCTAATATCATTTCACACTGAACTTTACTCCAAGAGCTTTGGTTGAACCTGTTCATACCAGAAAATCCCTGCCAAATTGCACAGGTTAAGACCTTTTCACTTACTCAACGAGAAAATAAAAAAAGAGCTTTTCACTTGCTCAACGAAAATTTTCCTCAAGTATAGCAACAATCTCAAATATATACCTGACATGGAGGTCCTCCGTTGATGAAGTCCACTTGACCAGGCAGTGGCAGAGTACTCTTCTGGTCCTCAGGAAGTTTAGCTGCTAGTTCATTTGCCTCTGTAGTAGAGACACAATCATCTTGATCTCCACCTTTCTCCATTATAGCCCTGCAATTAATCTCAACAACTGATCACAATGCACAAAATATTCACTAAAAGTGTAAGCGTTTAACTTGTTGGCTATTTACCTAAGAATCACATTGCAGTTGTCAACGAAAACTGTTGACTCAGGATGGTTTTGTTTAAAAGCCTGCCCAGCTGGCTCTTCATACTCAATTGCCCATTTTGTATCAGATACACCTTTTACATATAGCATGAATATTAATACAACTTATTCAAGCATTTTGGAAGATTAAGAGTTGACAGGAGATGATACATACCCGCCTTTTTCAGTCCCTGGGACAGGCCACCACAACCAGCAAAAATATCTAGTGTAGCCAGACGAATCTCTTTAGGTGGCTCATCAGGCTTGACAATCTCAGACTCAGTTTCACACTCTACTCCCTTTCCTTTTTTCTTTCTTAGAAGTGTGTCGTCCTTAATAGTAGAAAACTTCAACTTCATATTGGCGGGCAACTGTTACAAAACAGTTAAGAGAACCAGTTCAACTTTTTATCGGAACCAACAATAATCATAGACAAAACTATATGAATTCCTTTAGAAACTAGTAGGTACAAAAATAATTGACAGAAACGAGAGTGAAGAGCTATATACCTGCTTGAGAGAACCTTTGGAGGAGTCAAAGAAAAGATCACAGAAGAAAATATGGTCTGATATTGGATATTCACGGCATAAGGGCATATCACTTTTCTTTCTTACTTCACATTTTCCCTCTAGAGCACCTGGAGGGAGAACATCTGTGTCCTGGCTGTAATACAACTTAAGAAATTGCAAAAAGAAAGAGAAAAAGTATTGTCAGATAAACTTATGAAGAAACCTCACCACTTAAAACATTACCAGATATAAGAAATAGTTCTTACTTCTTGGATGTCTGAAGCATAGGCCTTCTCTGCAGAAACATCCTCCGGCCTATAAAACCTTCTCACTTTCACATCAAAGGAACCCAAATCACCCTTTCTAGATTCCTTTGGGACGATTTCTAGCAATTGGCAAACAACATACGCTCTTAACCCAATGTTTCGCCCAGACTTAAAAGAAGTTTTACTGCCCTCCTTTCCATCTATAGAGTCAGGGTTGACATAGACAAAATCTTCAACAGAATATTCAATCCCGTTGGAGAAAAAGCCTGTCTTTGAGACATTTAGTTTAATTCTAGACCTCTCCTCTTCATCCTCCCTTATCTTACATGAATTGCAGAACCCAGAACTGCGACCAATATCACTTAGTGGAAGACTGAAGAATCCCCCTCTCTCAGGTGAGTACAAGCTTTTGCAGTAGTATTCTGTAGGCAAATCTTTTGCTTTTCTTTCTAATGCTCTAGCCCGGTCAAGCTTATCCGCAGTG